GTTATGTAAATAAGACTAATTAAATTGGAATAACCTTATATTTAATTCAATTTTCTACCTAACAGATGTCCCAGAAACAGTAGTCAGGCTGGGAACGAACCTGGACCCTTCAAACATCAGAGAAGGCACCGATGTCTACTTCGACTGCATCATCAGAGCACATCCATACGTTTATAAAGTCGAATGGAGGCATAATGTAAGTATAATATTTATTTTAATGATTAAGTGTTTCTTGTTGTTTCGACTAATTCTTTAGTGTAGTCGAGTTTCTGGTGTATAAAATTGTATTTTAATATTTTAACCGAACATCAATATTACCTACTGCTCAATTTACGAACACCTTGAGAAAATTTAAAATCGATCCGTTACTTTCCCTAACCCAGAAATCAATTCCAAAACATCAATATTGCCCTTAATTAACTGAGCTATCACATAAAAAAAAAACAAAAAAGTACAACCGACTTCCTTGTAAAATAATAATATATCTAAGAAAGTTGGTTAAAATTCCCAATCTCAAAAACTACTGAAACGATTTAGATGAGACTTGCAGTATTCCCTAAGTTGAATAATACCTATTACAACAAAAAAAGAATAACTCAAATCGGCCTAGTAGTTCTGGAGATATGAGGGAACAAACATAAAAACATACATTCCTACATACATACACTTATGAAATTTGTCAGATTTATTCAGACGCTGACAGAGACTAATATTTACAAAAACTGGGCAGTTCTGAAAATATTACATACATACAGATCGAATTGATAGTAACCTTTTATTTGAAGTCGGTTAAAAATGGCTACCCAAAACTGACAACACAGTTTCAAGACAAAACATTTTTCAATAAACCTCCAGCAGGATATAAATATACTCTTCAGCTATGTCCCTAAAGCAAAAGGGTCAAACTTATATTCCAGCCATGTATCTTATAGTGCAAGGACATAACACTAAGTTTCAATCCCATAGGGCCCATGAAAGGGTTGGAACTGTGACTTAACTCCCCAACTAACTTTTAGTTCACCATAACATCAAGTAGATGCTCGCCACGTTTCTGGATAGTCCCTTTTAGTTTTTGGTAAGAAAACTGCTATCTTTGTACATGAAACTATAGACGGAAATATATAAATTGATTACATAACTTTATGTATGTGCTTGATAATAATCGCCTTGCAGTTACAATATTACAAGACCATCATTTTAAGTAGGTAGCAAAATCGTAAAACCCAAATAATATTGGGTGCGACCTAGAAATATAACCAACCTTGAAACTTAAAATTATAACTACTCAATGCTAATTACCAATTCATAAATTACTTATTAGCCCAACACAAAAATCGAACAAAACATTTTAAGATTGCTTATGGGACAACGTGCTCCATCGTAGACCGCATCACCGTTTACCACCAGGTGAGATAGTGGTCAAACGTCGGCCCATCAAATATAAAAAAAAAGATTGTCTTGACATCATTACTAAAAGTCATATTGACAATCAAAGCAGTTATTAAATATTATAAATTTTGTTTATCAGGGTAAAACTCTTCTCCACAACGTGGGCCAAGGCGTCATCATCAGCAACCAGTCGCTGGTACTCCAAGGTGTTGGCAGAAAGACAGCTGGCAACTACACCTGTGTGGGTTTCAATGCAGAAGGCGATGGGGAAAGCAAACCTTTCACATTAAATGTTTTATGTAAGTAAAACAACATTACCTATGCCATAATTTTTAAGGGTTTAATTTCTAGGTATAATTTCAAACTACTAACTCCAGATAGTTAAATGGAACACTCTCAAGATATAATTTTACAGAAACTTGTGGAAATTTTGTGTCGAAACTTAATAGTATTTTGCCTGAACTAGAAGCCGAAACATTCCTTGGTAATGTTATGAGTGTTTGTGGTACCCAGATAACAAATACAACAACAAATAGAACACAAGACGTGCAATAACATGTTATTCATTACCCGTGATCTAACGGCAATCCCCAGGTCACCTGCTAAACGTAGAAATTATGGAATACCCATTCTTAAGATCTAATCCAAATGATAATGGTTCAATGATGATGGTTCATAATTTTAAACTTGAATACATTTCATTGTTTTTCATAACAAAATAATTAAAACACTTCAACAACCACTTCTTACTCTAATTATTATTATAATACGTTTCAAGTTAAATTTATGATTGCATGAAGTTTGAAGCGGCAATTAACCAGCTTTGTAGTCGACACTTGTGATACGAAATGCTTGCTCATTACTTCAATTAATAGTTTTAATAGAGTCTGAAGTCAATCTGTTGTTTACTATGTGCGTAAACACTTTTTTTTTAAGATGAAAGATTCTTCATTTATGGCGTGTTTTAAAAGAATAATGTTTAAATGTATTTGTGTATATAGGGATTACTTTTAAACAATATATGGATAGGACAAAAAAATATTGCCAGTCGCCTGACCTATGCAAATAGTGCACTTAATCGTGCAGCGTGTGGTGCAATTATTGAACTTTTGACAGTGTGATGATGTTAGATTAGACTAGTAGAATAGCATTGCAAGGCCACAAGGCCATGTACATGCTGAACTGGTCCCATTTCACCGCAGACTTCGAACATGAATATGTATCCATCAGTACCTGTCGCGGAGAACCTAACGGGTAACCGGGGCTCCGGCTCGACATGCAGGAGAAGGAACGGTGTGGTTTTTAGTCAGTAATAGTCTGACACTCCCTCCCGCCTCACCCAGGCGGGAACAGTCATTCGATGATTTTCCCCCCTTAAAAAAAATCCATCAGTACCTACCTACCATCACATCTATACATGTCACCTGTTTTTTAGCGTGTGAAATAAAGGTTTATCTTTCTTTTCTTTCTTCCTTTCTTTTTTCTAGTTGGATCGTAAGGTACAATACCGCCTAATGAATTGCAGAGTAGGTAATGTAAAATTACACCTATTGTCAGGAATTAGAATTACTATGTACCATAACTACCCTACATTAGGTCGACAATAGCTTAGCAAAATCGAATCAGTTACACAATTTACTTAACTAAGTGCGGTATTTTTTGCCACCAGACGCACCAACTTGTCGGAGTTCACAACAGAGGGTACATGGAGTTGCGAAACAGGAACGAGCTCATATCACTTGCCACGTTGACGCTAACCCACCTGAAGTAGTGGTAAGTTAACACGTTATAAGCATACGTCCGTGTATAATGACACATCGATATGTTTAGTGGCGTATTGAAAAAGTGGCTAAACAAACAAATGACTATCTTCTTAAGCTGAAGAGTTTTTAGAATGTGCTAATTTCCAATCTACGAAACTACTTATACAAATTGAATAATTATTTTTGTATTGAACTGTCCATATTTCAAATAAGGTATCAGCTATAAAAGAGCGAGTGCGCTCGAGTCGTGGGCTGCCGTGTAAAGTGTCACGGGTTTGATTCCCGCACGGAACAACATTTTATGTAATCTATGAATTGTTGTTTCGGATCTGGATGTCATGTGTATGAATGTGATCTTGTATATTTGTAACTGTACCCATGACACAGGAGAAAATCCTAGTGTGGGGCAATGTTTAATTTAAAAAATAACTAGAACTAAGAAAAAAACAAAAGAAAATTGCATCACTATTAAGCTAATTAATATGTGTATGTAACATTTTATAATAAATCTAAGCTACAATCTCTCCATATGTGTAACCGATAGCAAAAGCACCCATCATGCTCCAGTTTCCTCGGTACACAAGGAATTAATTAATTTAACGTTTCATCTTACTATCTGCATAATTGAAACGTTAGTTTAGTTCGTTTAGGTTTGTTAATATAGTCAGAAATTATACAATACCCGATATTCATATAAATATCTATATAGCCTTCAGTTAAATTTGCCAATCAAGAAGGAATTAGAATGTGGTTTTGCGTTGAAACCCTTCCTTCCTCCCTTCTGTCGCCCAAAGACATTGATTCAATTATAACAATTCAATTGTGATGGTCTCTTTCCTTTCCTGTTTTTCCAAAAAAATCTTTTCGTAAGTAAGGAATTATATGGCATTTATTTACTCAAGTAACCGTGGGTTTGTGTTCTTTATTTGCGACTAGAGTGGTTGCCAGTATTTTTATTGTGTAAGGAACATTTATTCTGTATTCACAGTACTACACTTGAACTAAATAGTTATAAATAGATAGAGTTGTTGAATAGAAAAGATAACTACGTGTGTAACAGAAAACAATACCAGTGAAATAAATGATGAATTGACTGAATGAATGAAAAGAAATGAAATGAAATATAATATGTTTATTCGGCATAAGACTGGCACGCCAAGAAAAAAATACTTATACATCATGACAAATAACAATAAAAAGGGTTAAAAACAGACAAACGGTTGGCGCGGTGGTAGAACAACTGGCTGCCTCGTATCGTGTCGCGGGCTCGACTCCCGCACGGAACAACTCTTTGTGTGATCTGTGGACAAAGAGTTTGTTGAGAGATTGTTGTTCCGGGTCTGGATGTCATGTATATGTGAACTTGCGTGTTTATAATTATAAACACACTCACGACAACGCAACGTTTTTTGTTTTTTTTATAATATAGAAACTTTATTAGATTTTATTATTATAGCTTAAAAATTTGCCGTCAATAGTTAAGTATAACACTGGCCGAATTTCGACGAAAATTTATTTACAGCTGTAAAGTAGAAAAACAGTAAAAAGCTACTATTAAATATATCTGAAAATAACATCAAATTAACCCACCAAGAGAAATTTTAAGTAGGTTGTAACGAAGTTTAAGATTACAATCTCCATTTTAATATTAACATAACAGGACTAATCTATAAATACATTTCCAATTATCTATATTCCACTAACTGCTTACAATAATTGGTCGGCTCTTAATGAAAGGATTTACCGCCCTTTCTTTGAACAGTGATCCAACGAAAATAGATCATTTTAAAATAACAAATTCCAAGTTTTAAGTGAGAAGTTGATCAAAATCAATGCTTCTGAAACTGACTAAAAGCAATCATGAATAAGTAATGTGAACTTATTGTAAAATGGAATTATTTGGTGAAAGCTGATAGGAATGGTATCGAAGCTGTATTGGTCCTGTTCTGAACAGATAGAACTTCATTGTTAAAGATAATCCATTATGTCAACTGTTATTATGATGAAATATCCCAGAGTTATTTGTGAGATCTGGCTTCGATTAGCGTATTCTAGCCGAATTATGTGTGTCATGCTTGGTTGTGGTTGCCATTTCTTGATTTATATTGATTGTTTGTTTTGTCTTAACGTATTATTTTGTACTTAGTATAGTATACAACGTGGTAATGCTGCCAGCCTTCTGGGTACTTTCCCTACAGACGTCCATGCGGACGAATTTTTCGATGCTTTGTTATTTTTATTTTTAGTTTTATTTTAACTAACTTTTATCTTAAGTTGTATTTAGCAAAAGTTAGTATTTATTTTATTTTAGTTTTTATTATCCGTAAATAAAAAAAATACTTAGTATAGAATGTTATTTTTTTTAATATTTATATATTTTTTTTTATACAGGTTGGCAAATGAAATGACCTCGTTTAATAATCATTCACTTTATTTTTAGTAACAGAACACTTCACTCACTTTTACAAAACATCACGCTTTTTACCCCCTAAGAGATAGACAGAGGTGCACATTACGGCAATTAATGCCACTGTACGATGTAACACCCACTTTTCACTATTAATGTTATAAGTCCCATGTAATCACCCTTACAAACCAAATCAAAACGTTATTCCATATTATACTATTCAAATAGCAACAATTTGAACCAAAATACACAAGTCATGTCCAAAACATAACCTCATCTAGGTTATACCAACATTAATATTGAAACAGGGGAGCCAACATTACGGGACAAACACTATTATAAATCTGTTCATGCTTTGACATGACATATTGAACATAAAATTTGGCGTATCGCCATTTGGAATGGTCGAACTTTGATGACATTCGAATTAGTGAATAGTCCTTTCATGAATTAAACGACGTTGGAAATTAATATCTGGCATATTATACCCTGGAAGAGTAAATTGCTGAGTGGCTATGCTTAGTGAAATTCATATATAGATATTAGTCCCATTTCGTAACTAAAGTAACTCGAGTTGTATCTATGAATACTTCACACTATCTACTATTACAAACTTCATACCGTTAAACTCTTAAGATGTAAGTTGCAAGATGTTCCTCAGAAGATTCTTATGAATGGATGGATTCTAAGATCGAAGGACGGGGACCAAGTTTACTAAAATCTAAGTTCCAAAAAATGTATTTATAATTTGTAAAAATCAACTTTTAATTCTTCTTCCTTCCTAGTCCACTCTGCTCGTTTCTTCTCCTTGTCTCTCTCGTGCTTGTTTCGTTCTCTTTGTAATTATTCGTTATCACCTTGATTGCTTCTTGCAACCAGAGTTGCAAAGAAAAAGTCGTCAATTTTGATTCGTGCATCCGTGGTTGCAAGGCGACGAATTTTATATAATTCAATGTATCTCTATACCAAACACATAGAGTCGTAGTAGTATATATTTAAACCAAAGACAGATATATTGCTCATAGACGTGTGCCCATATTACCAACATCACGGTAGAAAAATAACGAAATATTGTCAAATAATGACAGTTGAAGGAAGAAAAACTAGAAATGATTTGTGTAATCAAATTGACACTAGATGTAAATACCCTTGATTGTCTTGTAGATGCCTCACCTAACCGGTCTAGAAGGTGACTGATCGCAGGTTTATATAAAAAAAAACCTATAAATTGCGCAATCTTATTGTCCGAATCAAGAAGGAACATATAACTTTGATTAAAAAGTATTCTTTATGTTAAAACTTCTGCGAGACATATTAAATTAATTATAATATGTTTTTGACTTACTCGCGTAACTGTTTGACGAGGACTCGTTAAAAATCATGCTAGAGGCTCATATTCATGAGCATTCTGCGACCCGCGACGCGGCGACTATCGTGCTCCTACTGATCTTGTCAAACAGTTACATGAGTAAGCCGAAAACATAATAATTTAAAAATATTCAGTATTGTGACAGATTCTCAGTGGATTTTTGATAAATGGTAAGAGCCTGACCGGACCAGGCCTGAGTAAACAGTCTTAGATTGGCTTGTGTGACTCGACCATTAACAGAGGAATTATTTTCTCTAACTATCATTTTCCTCCCACAGTTCCGATGGACCTTCAACAATACAGCGAACAGCAACGAAGTCAGTGACACGTATGTCTCCAGAGCTGGTACCAGTTCCACCGTCACCTACACTCCTCACACGGAGATGGACTATGGGACTCTTCTCTGCTGGGCACACAATAGGATTGGCAAGCAAAGAGTTCCTTGTGTCTATCATATTATTGCTGCGGGTGAGTAAGAGATGAGAAAAAAAGGTTAATATTTTTTATTTTCCGTAGCTCATGTATTTTCGCAGATTTTCTATTTAAACCTGACTTTAAGGTTGACTGATATAGAAAGCCATATTAAGCTCGCCTTATGTACCCGTACTCTGTTATATTGTGTACATGAAAGATGAAATAAAGAAAAAAAACTATACATATATCCTTTTGCAGCTTGCAGCAGTGATATCATCTTCAAAATATGTCATGAATCTCAAGTCAATTGTCGTAAATCATGTACAATTTGAGACTTGGTGCCAATGATAAGAATTCAGAAACCAATAAACCTTATTATTATTTCTCTGTGCATAGCTGTTAATTAAAGCGTGCCTAAAAAACTTAAATAATTTCTTCTGAACTATGTATAAATTACCATTATAATACATACTACATAACTTAGATAATAATATCTCCCTAAAATAATAATATATATGTACATTTTATACCACAAATACCTCATCTTGCCCGCAGGCGGCTGAACATTCCCTCTGAAACCTTCACAAGTTCTGTTGGATGTACTTGAGGGTGGATAAACTAAAACAATCTAATCGTAGACAGAAAACATTTTACATAAATCAGTCTTGTTGTTTCTTGACGGGCGAATAGTTATTTATTTTCTAATGTAGACCTTTTTGAAGTTCATTTCTAAGAATATGTTAGCCTCTTTCAGATCTTTCTGTCTATTTAAGAAATGAAAGGCTAAGCCTAATTTCTTCTCTTGACTTTGTTTTAGCTATTCTTAACGATTTGCTTTTACATTATAAATATTATATTTCTTGTGAAGGAGTCAAATTTTGATAAAATATTTTATGATCTATTTTTCAATCGTGTCGTTAAATTCCATTATTTATAATTAAAATATCTCTATCGGTAGATTTCCTTACTAGATAAAATTTTATATGAGCCTCACTTGAAATGTTTCAAAATTAGGCATTGGTACTAGTTAGGTCATGTTAGTCAGTTGGTCAGATATGACTGGATGACTGGCAGAGAATGCTGTTAGCATTAAGTCCTCACGCAATTGTGTAAAACTTAAATAAATAAATATATAAATAACGAAAAAATATCAAAAACATATTTTTATCGAAAGATTTATAATACCCGAAGTATAGCTACTTAGGCTTTAGCGACTCCAAAATTTCAGTATAATGTTCATATTTGGTTTACGCAAATATGACCACATTTCCAAATATCACACCTGTAGGTATGTATGCTCCGGTTTTCAAACGGTCGTTGTTGTTAGTTTCCTTGTCAAAAATATGACAGTCACCGTAAAGTTATTCTTTCATCTCCAAAACCAACACGGACGTCTTAAGTTGATTCCATAGAGCCTTTAACTTACTTATCCGTACCTGCCAAGATGGCTTCCAAAAAGGGACAAGAAATCAATATCTTACTGACTGATTTTTAAGATTATTTTTGGTTGATTCCACAAGCCTACGAAGCCCGACAAAATTCATATGACCAGGTTGTTTTAGTGAAATTCTAAACATAGTTTGGAGTTTAGCCTTAATTCTGATGTTTCGACATACGCTAGCTTTGAAGAAAACTGGTTGATGTTTGAGACACATGATATAGGAAACACAAAATCTGTCCCCAACATAACATTACGTCATGCCTTTTAACCTGGAAGTCATTGGGGGAGGCCTATGTTCAGCAGTGGACGTCCTGTGGCTGATATGATGATGATGATCCCTTTTAAACCCGAAGGAGTAAGCAGAGATACACATTACGGCACTTTGTGCCACTGTACAACATAACACCCACTTTTCACTATTTATTTTATGAGTCCCATGTAATAGGGGATGAGCCTAATGCCATATACCGAACACAACACAATTCCAGACTCCGTGTTACTACTGAGATTTTTAAAAAACCCAGTAATACTTTGCCCGACCCCAAGACAGTTTGCCCGGTCACAGTTGCAAGTCACACTGGTGACCACAAGGCCAACGACGCAGTCCGCCCCAAACGTATAAACCAAATGTATCAAAAGACATTTTCTCAACAAAGCTAAAATTATTGTGATTTTTATCTTAGGTCGTCCTGATCAAGTCCACAACTGCACAGTAGTGAACGCATCGTTAACATCGTTCGGGGTTCGCTGTTCGGAGGGTTTCAACGGTGGCATGCCACAGTCTTTTCTCCTAGAAGTGCGAGAGATTGTGACACAGGTAAATATTAGATAATACACGCGTATTATCATTATGTCATATATGCCGAAACAACTTTAACAACAACAACTTGGAGCAACTTCATTGTAACCATGACCAGCAGGCCTAGACGAAAAAAAGAAAAAGATATTTTCCCAACCATGTTGGTTTGTTACATGTTTTATTGCCAAAGAACCATCCCTAATGCTGTTCTTCCCCAAACAGGAGATTGTAGCCAACGTATCAAGTGCGGTGCCTCGCTTCACAGCAGTCGGTCTCTCACCAGGTCGAACTTATGCTGCAGCTGTTCTAGCATACAATGCTAAGGGCAGAGGAGATCCTTATCCTTTGAGGGCCAGCACCTTGAGGCCACCAGAGAAACACCATGTACATGATAAGAGTTTAGGTGAGTTTTTTATTTATTGCTGGCAACAAAATAACAATTTGAACTACAACTAAGTTAGCTTTTACTATCAAAACAATACTATTTTCCAAAAAGTACATATATATCTATTTTGAGTACTATTTAAATCATCCAAATTAATTTCATAAAGTTTATACAGTATTTTATTATTTGACATAATATCATAACGTTCGTTTGTGTACCTACACATATCTCTTAAAATAGACAAACAGACCTTGGAACGTCAAAGGCTTTTTGAGACAAACGCTTAACCAAAAACCAAACAAAGTCCATACATGTGATTGGTGCTACTTCTATGCATCAGTTCGTCAGGTTTTTTAACACCAATAACCAAGCTCAATGTCCAACAGATCTCCCAAGAACTGCCTTCCAAATGTCGGGAGCGATGTCAGTGGCCGTCGGTGGAGGTATCATCCTGACAGTAGTCCTGATACTCTTCATGATAGCTATGAGACAACGCTGTGCTAAACGGAAGCCAAGGTCTGCTCCTCCACCCTCGTCACAACCAGCCAGTCCAGACAAACTGAGGGAGAAAGAGGACAGTGAAAGTGATGATAGGAATCCAGATATAATACCGTCGGATACTGATCAGATGCAGGTGAGGGATGATAGAAGAATGTTAGTTATGTTAGTTGTAGTCGTGAAAAACAACAATCAATGTAGATTTTTTTTATGGCATAAGCCGGTAAACGAGCAGACGGATCACCTGATGGTAAGCAATCGGCGTCGCCCATGGTCACCTGGAACACCAGAGGCGTTACATGTGCGTTACCGGTCTTTTGGGGATTAGGAGTTTGAGGATCGTTGGGGATTCAGGAATTGGGGAGATTGGGGAAGGCGAGAGTAATTGGGCCTCCGGTAACCTCTCTCATACGACGAAATACAACGCAAGCGTTGCTACGTCGGTTTTCTGTGAGGCCGTGCTATCACTCCGGTCGAGCCAGCCCATTCGTGCCGAAGCATGGCTCTCCCACACCTAATATGTCTTATCTAATGTTCTACTTAATCTAATGTTAAGCAAATTAAAGTTGGGAGTAAAATTCTGAGTTACGTTGATCAAGTTCCAAGTCTTGCAAGTGCTTGATATTGTTCTGAACGTGGTTTAGCTAAAAAAATTTTTATTACGAACAAATAGCAACTCATGTAATATTTTATTCTGTGACCCTTTGAAGAGTAAGCTTATTGTAAATAACAGTGTAGATTGTAACATATTTTTATGTGTTTGATATCCAAAAGATGTCTTGGTCTTTTTAAATGCTCGTGTCAGTTCTTCACCAAAATAAAAGCGTGGTACCTTTACTTTCTTTTACTTTGAACATGTTCATTCATCAACGTTTTATGATATAGATGGACTACTACCGTCAGCAACAAGTGTCGACCATCTCCCCACCTCCAGGGGTGCGGGGCGGGGCGCGCGGCAGTGTGGCGGGCGTGCGCGGCGGCCTGCCTGCGTACGCGGCTTTACGCACTGCACCGCCGCCTGCACATCCCATGCATGACCCACAGGTTAGTTGCGTCTGAACTTCTACCTGGTTCAGTTCAATATACTGATCTATCTAATTTTCTAACATGCACAAAAACCTAAAAACTTTGTAAAACACCACCAAAAATTTGTCCAGCAGATGGAAGATGGATATTCTTATGGTGTTCTGTTCGTTCAGAACGCGTCGTCAGGTATTCCGCCACCCGCGCGGTTTGCGTCGGGCTCCTGCACGTTGCCACGGGGCTCATCATTGGGCCCATCGGGAGGTATTCCTCTACAGCATCTACGGACTCTCCCCCGGCCGACGGGGCCCGCGGGACCGCCAGGCCCGGCGCCAGGACCCGTGGCACCCGCGGCCGCGCCCCGCCTGCCCCCCCGCGACACTCCGCTCTGACAGACCACACAACTATAGGACATGTAAATACGACTGTGTTATTCAAGTGCTCAAAACTTTTTTTAAATCGAGTGATTAGTGTTTTTGTTGTGGGTATCTAGTACTTGCTGTAGTGCTGTTATGAAAAATAAAATTCTAATAAGAAATTTATTTCGTATACCATAATCTACGCAGTTATACTTTTTACTTAAAATTTTGCTTCGTACATACTCTATTCACCTTGAGAGACTGCAACGAAATAATAAGAGCGTGTATTTTCAAAAAAAACACTTGAATTATTAATCAAATTCGGTTCGAAAGCAAAACAAAGAACAAACTCCCACATCTATAATATCGACAAGTACGAACTAAGAACGAACTTCATTAAAGTTTTCATGTCTTCGAAGTAAAAAAGGTACTTGAACTTGTTTTCCAACACCCGAAGTTATATTTAAGCGAGCTGTAAACTCTACTGCAATGACTTCATGAACTCAAATTAAAAGAGAACTAAAACATGACGTCACTACTAATACTCTTTATTACAGCTCTTATAAACTTTTTAGCTGAGTCTCAAAGAATGGATTTACTTTGCAATTAAAAATATCTACGAAGTTCTTATTAGGATTTCTCAGTTCGAGTAATACCTTGTTTCTATAAATTAGTGGGAAAATCGGTGTCTGTAGTTTGAGGTCAAATATAATATTTGACGTACATAGTTGAAACGTTCTAGAAGAAAACTGAAGTCACTATTTACTTAAGACTAATATTCATCATCTTCTTCGTCGTTCTCTTCATTACTGAAGGTCGTGTCTAGTCTAATGCACGCTGCTCGCGTTACTTGATGTACAAACCTCCTCCAGGCGCCTCTGTCCTCTGCGGTCTTTATGACTGAACTGTCAGGCCGGTGAGGTTTTTACAGATATAGCCTACGGATAACCTGACCACTAACCACCAGAATCTTTAGATTATCGCCGTCTGTACTACTTCTAATATTCATACTAAACTCTTTTTCTTTTACGTACCATTAGTTTTTTATTATCAATTATTTTGGAATTATACAAGACGTTGTATTGTTATATATATCATAATTATAATACATTTCATATTATTTTATTCTCTAACAGCACTAAGCAAGTACGTGATATGTTTGTTAGTCGAATTCCGATTAGGTAGGATAAAATAATTGAAAATTCTGTTAAAATTCGTTTGTAAATCGATAAATAAAATGTAAATATAACACATATAACTCTAGTTAATATATAAATAATAATTCGAAAACAATATTTATACTCACGAGATGTTAAACAATGTAAATCGGATTGACGTTGTGTTAAATATTTCATTTTCCGTTTATAAATGGTTGTGAAAATAAACAAGTCACATTTGTAATCTAGTTTGTATGGGTATCGATATACTGTATGGCTTGAGTAGTCAGAATTTCATAGAACTTATGTTTAATTTAAAATATAACATCAGAAATATTTTTAAACAATAATTAAACATTTCGGGAAATTTTAATACCCCGATATTCCTTTTTAAGTTAAGGACAGCAATTACATTAGTGAAATTTGAACTTACGGCCTCCAGAGCACCAAATTGTTATTATTTTATTAATATGTATATTTATATTATTATACAATAACAAATAAATATCGTCGAAAATCAATCATTGCTCATAGAGGTTTTGTTTATTTTTTTTTGTCCAACCTTAATGTGGAATTTCATATTTTACAAATTGTAAGAATCATCATAATTTTTATAACATACCAAGCACAAAGCATGTATAATTTAACAGAGTACTGCATATAATTTTAAACTGTTCTTTAAAATTCTGACTTCTCTAGATAGTATCACCTAAAGTTTTGAAATTAAAATATGTTGAAGATTGGACTAATATTTCCTACTGTATTATAGATAGTATGAAACTGATAATCTAGTTTATATAAACATAATCACTAAATTGTGATATTTGACCTCTTGTTCGTGAAAAATGTTTTTTAAGACGCTCTTGAAATCAGCCTAAGTTTCTTCTAGTTTTTATCTGAATAGTATAGATATTGAGTTACGAAGTTCGTCTTTTGTCACTGTAAAAGTGCGATGACTGTTTGCCGCTATGTCGAACTTAAAAATACACGAAATTATGAAGACTTTTCTTAAGGATAACATCAGATGAAACCAAAAATCAAAATTGTGATCTTCATTTACCTCTAGTTCTGAATTATCATCACGATTCTTGGTTTCATCTGCAATCAGACTTCGATATTCATAGAAGTATATAATGAAATATGAGTATGAAGATACTAAAAACTGCCATAGAGGTTCCTCCAGATAACAGCACATAAAACTATCCCAATCTATCAACACATTTTCAATCTTCAATCTTACCACTTTAAAACAAAGTTACATTTTGCAAAAAAAACTACCAATTTGGGACACTTTTATGTGATGTGAAAAAAAACTACGAAATGTAATATTCAAATGTCAATGGTAGGTGAAGATATTTCGAGCGTTTTCCACATTTTCATGAATCAGAGGTCGAGGCTTAAATCTTTTGTTCATTGTAGTGTTTGCTGAAACGGGTCACATTCGCATACTCACTGGTTTAATATGAACCCTGAAAATTCAAATTATTTTTGAATCTGCCTACGTTTCGTGAGCTGTGCACTTACAATACACAAATATGCGTTTACATACGGTTGGAATTGAAAATTTTTGTAAGTCAACAATAATTCTGTTTCAGAGTGAATTTTAGTGGTTTTTTGGTACTTTTTTTATGGCATAAACCGGTAAACGAGCAGACGGATTACCTGATGGTAAACAATCGGCGTCGCCCATGGACACCTGGAACACCAGTGTGCAAGTGCGTTGCCGGCCTTTTGGGGATTAGGAGTTTGAGGATCGTTGGGGAGATTGGGGGAAGGGAAGCAATTACCCTCTAATTGGGCCTCCGGTAACCTCACTCACACGATGAAACACAACGCAAGCGTTGCTTCACGTCGGTTTTCTGTGAGGCCGTGGTATCATTCCGGTCGAGCCGGCCCATTCATGCCGAAGCTTGGCTCTCCCACACTTAGGTACTTTCTTTTAGTGTCTTTGTGTTACATATTATAGTTATTACTTAAAATAATTTGCTTGTAATTTTGTTAACAAATCTTACTTTTGATTATAACTTAATTAATACTGTCAAAGTTTTACTAAGAAACCTTCAGTTTAAATCTTGGAAACCTTGATCAAGATCAACATTCATTGAACTTCATTAGACATAAAACATACTGTAAACAACTACAAATCAATTTAAACTTTATTTCAACTTACAGAAGTTTTTAATTCAATTAAATTCACTAACCAATCTTAGTAATTTACGTTTCAAGATGACCTATTACGTGTCAATCAGCAAATGCTATTAACAATAGACATTATTAACCAATCTCCATTCAAAATCTTTGTATTATTAATTTTGACATTAGTTTTATAGAATTTCTGTCATAACTCGGACCTGAGGCATCTTAGTACGAGGTCATTTTGAAACGAGACCACGTTCTGCGTTCTGATTGGTTGGTTCATTGAAGGTGGTCAATCAGAGCACTGCACGCGGTCTCGTTCCGATTACTTTTACTCGTCGAGTACCGGTTTTGTAGACACAATTATAGAACAATAGGTTGCGGTCACCGGTGACCGCTTGGTGTTTGACAGTTTAAATGTAAAACAAATTCGTACTAAGTCCTCAGAGATATTGTATAAGGATTGGTTAATAATTTCAACTATAAATGAACATTAGATAGCCAATAACAATATAGTTTATATTACCTTGTCCATTAAGGGTTTTGTACATACAGTAACAATGTAAATAAGTTTTGTATTATAACAGTTATAATCCTATTTGTGTCTTAAAATGGTGTAAACGCCATACACAATGGCAGCGTGGCTTTGTAAAATCTATCTTGTGGTATCTTAATTACGTGTCATAATCATCGCTTAGAAGTGACAGTTGGTATTGATATGAGCGCCTTTTTTGTTGTGGGTATATTTTTAAATATGTTTTTGGTTGTGAGCATAAAACTTTTTAAATATTTTTTTCGGAAACGCGGACGATGTATAAATAATGCAATTTGTTTTCTGACTATGTGCAAAAAATGTGATAAGAAAACATACTAAGCTACCTACTTTATTTTTTAAGCATTTTTTTTTATTATAATCATTTTGCACCAGCAATTCAGATTTTACATAGTCACAAAAAGACGACCTAAGACGTGAATCATCAAACAATGGGTGCATACTCAATTACACTAATAAAAATAATTAGTTAAAAATTTTAAATTTTTGCAACTTTTAATTTTAGCGGATATGAAATATCCTATTCTGTTGCTAGTTAATAATTTTATTATTATTATTAATTATTATTATTAAACAAAAAAACAATTAAGTTTGTACGTTAAATAATTGTAAATAGTTTAACATGGAATCTTTCTATCTGTCAGAATGTTTTCACTAAACTATCGGGAAACGAAAATAAATGGAAATATTCGAAAATGTTCTCTTTTGATGTTTTATTTATCACAATAACAACTAACAAACTCAATTTAAATAATATTATTTATAACGTACTCACGTAAAAGTTATGAGTTCCGATGTGGCTTGAAACTGTTCGACCATCCTCGAACCAATTTCAATAAATTATCTATAAATAATATTATTTATGTTCATTTCTTCTTCGAAGTGATGTTCATTTTGTTTAACATTTTTTTTTATTTAACACTTTATGTACAACTATGTATACAAAGGCGAGCTTAATGCCGGATGGCATTCTGTACCATCCAACCATAGGTTGATGGACAAAGTCTATATCTATTGAAAAAAAACGAGTGTGGTAAATGAACGTATATATAAAGGTACCGTTACATTATATAGCCAAGATCACCTTAACTTTCAATTCTTTTATTATTTTTTCAGAATTATCAAGTAGACCGTACCCTACTCTACCATGGGACGTATTGTATAATTAAGAAGAAAACCCCATTATTTTTAAGGGCCGTATAATGACCTGCATTATGGTAATTTTCTGACACTAGATCTTCTCCCGGTCCCCTAAAGATAAACAAACATTGTTTTACAAAATTAACATTTATTACATTGACTCATATTATTTTATTACATAAAATATTTATTGCACTACATGTATCATGTATCGCTATTTGTTCAATGTATGTGTCTCTTTTAAAAACAGATTTTAATGAGAAAATCTTCTACTTCAATGTGTATAACTTTGTCATCTTAGGGTGTGTCCACAACTGGCGAATGTTCCGCCATTGCACAGCTCTAGAGCCTCCCACGTACTGCACGCCTGTTGTTTTTTTTAATGGAATAGGAGGCAAACGAGCAGACGGATCACCTGATGGTAAGCGATCATGTGTATTTAAAATTATCATTTATACGAACCTTGGATGAGTTAACCACCAAACTATTGCTATGATGGCACGCGCGCAGATCGCGAGCTGCCCGCAAACGACTCGTGAGCGGCACATTCGTGGCGCATTAGTCAGATGTGGACGCACCCTTAAACAAACATCAGTCTTACTTTTCGATATCACGTCTTGTACTTTCTTCCTTTTGTACCTAACATTACTATAGTCGTGGTTTGCTTCTCCCATTTCTATTTAATTACTAACCAATTTATAACCGGCATTCAAAATGAAAAAAAAGATGTTCTCAGTATGTATGTAGGTATGTTTATGTGTTATTATCTCACGATTGGCTGAACTGATTTTGATGTTTTCAGAAAAGTATTGGTTACACTTAGGAGAAGGTTTTATTTTTATTTTTTTTTAAAAAGAGAGGATTCAACTCGGTTTTTTGTTAAACGTAATATATAAAAGAATTATTAGATTACAAAAACGAAATAACATATGTTTTTATAATAACTATCGTGAGACATACTAAATTAACTTAAACTCGCGGGTTATTCACGTGAATATACTGAGAAAAGCGGCGATGTCGCGCAGCCTACTGGCCTACAGCCACGAGCCTACAGTGCTACATGG